TTGACCTTGAAGCTTACTAAGTGATATGGAAGTTCATTCATTCTATCTCAGTAGCTAAATCCAATTTGGGGGGGTGGGAATCCTTTTATCTTTGATGTTATATGATTTTCTCAGCAAATCAGAAATATTTCTGATAGCTGGAATCCCCATCTTAATTATCTTGCAGATGATTAATCAAGACAATAACTAGTTTCTACTAGCTGTGCTACTGAATTAAAGGGATTATTGTACAAAATAATTATTTTAAAAAAAATTCAAAATAGTGTATTCCACCTATTCTGTCTTGTCAGCATGGTCAATCTACCTGATGCTATAGAACAGGAGTTTCCAACCTTGGCAACTTTAAGACTTGTGGACTTCAGCTCCCAGATGGCTCAGGAACTCTTGGAGTTGAAGTCCACAAGTCTTAAAGTTGCCAAGGTTGGAGACCTCTGCTATAGGTAATACCTGTGGGCTATACCCACAACTAATAGTTTGTAAAAGCAAGCATAAGGTAAAGGTTCCCCTCACACATATATGCTAGTCGTTTCCAGCTCTAAGGGGCGGTGCTCATCTCCATTACAAAGCTGAAGAGTCATCACTGTCCAAAGACATCTCCATGGTCTTGTGGCCGGCATGACTAAATGCCGAAGGCACACAGAACGCTGTTACCTTCCCATCCAAGTGGTCCCTATTTTTCTATTTGCATTTGTATACGCTTTCGAACTGCTAGGTTGGCAGAAGCTGGGACAAGTAATGGAAGCTCACTCCATTACGCAGTACTAGGGATTCGAACCACTGAACTGCCGACTTTTCTTAGCCACTGAGCCACCGCATCCCTAAAAAGCAAGCATTGCTTTTTAGGGATTTCTATAATATTCATTGCTCTATAGCATTGCTGTAATATTCTCTGTCCTCATTTCCCTTCACCTATTAAGTTTTCACCTACCCTCTGCAATTATACACCAAATATAAAGCATGAGAAGTCATTTAATCCATCTTATGGCTGATACAATGCATTCTCATTTTTCACTCAGAAACGAGCAATTAGAATGGCACAGAACTTTTAAAAAGTTCTGTTGGTGGCATAGTGGTTAGAATGCAGTACTGCAGGCTACTTCTGCTGACTACTGGTTGTCTGCAATTTGGCAGGTCGATCCTGACCGGTTCAAGGTTGACTCAGTCTTCCAAGGCTGGTAAAATAAAGACCCGGATTGTTGGGGGCAATATGCTGACTCTGTAAACCCATTAGAGAGGGATGGAAAGCACTGAAAAGCAGTATGTAAGTCTAGTGCCACTGCTATTACAATAAGCATTCACTTGAAGCAAAGTGACCCTGTTGCTTACTTTGGTCTGCTTTGCAGTCTTTCACATTTTTCCCTGGTAGAGTTCACGCTATCAGAGAAACCTGAGGGAACTCTTCCAAAAAAACGTTCAAGGTGTCTCCCAGGTTGGCTTAGCCCAGCTTGAGCTTCAAGAAATCATACCAAGATGCAGAAGGAGTAGTCAACTCGAAGCCACCTATGATTGCTGAGGAGCTCCCTAGGCATCATACTTCTTCCAACATGGGTTTTGGGAGAACCTCTTCTAGACTGCTCCCACCAATGAAGCACAATCTGGGAGCCCTTTATCACATGCGAAGGGAGAGCCAAGGTTGGGTAGGTTCATTGCAACTCTACCAAGGTGGAAGAGACTTCTTCTACCTTGCTGGCTGATGTCTCTTCTTAGCCTTCTCCTTCACTGCTCTCACCACTCTAAATAAGTTAGTCCCAGCAGAGTGAATAAGATTTTAATTTTATTTATGTTACTTATTGATGTCATTGATATACAGCTGAATCCACTGGGGCTCATGCTGTTTATACTCACAAATCGACAATTAAAATGACCAGAGTAGCACATAATCCACAGAAACAATTAAAACATTGCCAGTACATATAAATAACCAATATGAAATTAATATAATGAATAATCAAATCAATCATGAACAAAATAACAGATGATGTAAATAACAATTATGGCAACAGCATGCAAAGTACCGAACTCTGGGAGAATTCTGTTTTAAGTAAAACTTGAATGCTGTAACAGATGGAGCAAGGTTTACTTCTAAGAGAAGATGGTTCCCTATGGCAGCAGCTACAACAAACAAAGACAGCTCTCACCTCTGGTTTCTCTCACTTTATGAAAATAGGGTACCACCAAGAGCTTCTCCTGGGATGTGTATAATAATGAAATGATTTGAAATGAAACTGAAATAAAGGGAAGGTTGGAATGAATATTTTAAGGATGTGTATGGGAATGAAGTGGTATCTTGAAGAGTGATGTTGAAAAGAAGGCTATAAATGTTAGTCTCCGAGAAAAAAAAAAGCTATACAGTTATTCATAGTAATTTTATTCTGTAGAAGTGCCACAGATACTGAATTAATAAATGCCCAAACTTCAGCCGGGAATGTGTCCATCAGGTGATTCCACTGTTTTACTGCTCTGCATTTCTGTGAATAAATGCAACAGCATCATAAATATTGATTTGGGGGTTGCCAAAGAACATTTTCAGGAATGAGCAAATCCCCAAATACAGAACCTGCAAATAACAAGGATTGCCTGATTATGCAGTGAGAATGCTAAATTGTTATAAAGCTGGCAAGTGCAGATGGCGTAGCTGAAGAAAGGCTAAAATACGAATGTAGTTTTCTTACAGAGCAGCTGGGTGATTTGTTTACTCGGTAGGGAAGGCTGTCTTTGTGCCTGATGGGGAAAAGGACACTAATTTTCCCCTATACAAAAGGAAAAGTAACAAATATGAATGCAAAACCTACAAGGGGATTAGTTTGTTAAGTGTCCTTGAAAAGGTGCTTGGAAGAATTCTGATCAAGGAGGAACTAAAGATGACAATGAGCCAAATGTGAGAAATATCAGGCAGCAGAGGTATAGAACAAACTTTTGCTCTTCAGCATAGAAATGTATGATTAAAGTTAGTTCCCCAGATCAGGAGAGCCTTATATTTAGCTCGATATAATGCTCTCCCTACAGCTGTCCTTGAAGGAAAATATAGGAATACCCCATATGAAAGCCCATACTGCCTCTGTGATATGTGTAGCATAGAAACCACAGCCCGTGTTCTTCGGTATTGCCAGTTCTACAGGGGCAGAGACGTCACCCTACCAACAAAAGTCTGTACAGTCAAGGCTATGGTTTTCCCAGTTGCAATGTATGTGAAAGTTGGACCAGAAGGAAGGCTGAGCACCAAAGAATTGAGGCCTATGGTGCTGGAGAAGAGTCCTGCAAGTCCCTTGGACTGCAAGGTGATCAAACTGGTCAGTCCTAGAGGAGATCAACCCTGACTGCTCTTTAGAAGGCCAGATCCTGAAGATGAAACTCAAATACTTTGGCCACCTAATGAGAAGGAAGGACTCACTGGGGAAGAGCCTAATGCTGGGAAAGATTGAGGGCAAAAAAAGAAGGTGACGGCAAAGAATGAAGTGGATGGATGGAGTCACTGAAGCAGTCGGCATGAGCTTAAATGGACTCCGAGGGATGGTAGAGGACAAGAAGGCCTGGAGGAACATTGTCCATGGGGTCACAATGGGTCAGACATGACTTTGCAACTAACAATAACAACAACAACAACAACAACAACAACAATAGAGGTATTTGCCATCAGTTGATTATCCTTCTTTTATTTAAATTCCTGGAGCACTCTGGTAACTTTTAGTTGCACTATATGTGAAACATGTAATTGTATAAAAGTGGCAAAATTTTGCTACATTATGTGTAAGCTTCACTCACAAATGGTTACTATCAGGAGATAGGGGTGTGTTACTCCTTTTATTGAACCTACTGTCTATATTGATCAATGATCAAAATAAAGTTCTGTCTATGACAGGGATCTCCAAACCTGGCAACTTTAAGACTTGTAGACTTCAATTCCCAGAATTCCTCAGTCAGCCATGAATTCTGAGAGTTGAAGCCCACAAGTTTAAAAGCTGCCAAGTGTGGAGACTTCTGGTCTATGATTTATGATTTAATTTATGGATTGTTCTGTGTGGGGATAAAGTTGAAAATGTTTGATGAATGTGACAAGACTGGGATATAATGGAAGGAAAAAATAAGGGAATAAATGGAATACTTAGTGACCGGTTCATCATTGAGTAGGAAATGAGAAAAGGATATTTGATAAGATTTCGATTGTTTAATATAATTCTGGTTAAAGAAGTAAGAATACTTGTAAGAATGTTAGAAGGTGAGTTGATAGAGGATATGAATATATCTGTATCTAGGCATAATGATGATACTGTTCATTGGCTGATAACCCAACTACGATTAGATACCTCACATGATGCTACGGTACAAGGAATATGAATCTGAAAATTAATGTATCAGAGAAGTACAAACTAGCTATGCTTGGCAGAGAAAATGGAGTAAATAAATGAAAGCTAAGCATAAATGACAAAAAACTATAGCAAGTATACGAATGTGTGCAACATGCAAGGAACAGATAAGGAAATTCTAAGTTGTGCAAATGCTGATAGAATGTGGTTTGTTCTAAGGAATGAACATTTGCTGTAAGAAGCAAAAATGTTTGTCTAGAAACATGCTTTACTGTATGGAAATCAGAATTGGGTGCATCAGGAAAAGCGTTAAAATAACTTGAAAGCATTGAGAATTGAGTGTGGTAAAACAAGAAGAGACAGGGTGAAGAATGAGAAGAAGCTGAATAAATGTGAACTGAATACAAAACTGATCGGTACAAAAGAAATCTATTCAGGTGGTTTGGTCATAAAGAGAGAATGACTAAGGAATGAATTGAAAAATAAAGGGATAGTAAGGTGGTTGAGAGAAAATAAAACCAAGAAAGTCATTACTGAATCTTCCAAAAGAAATGTGCAGAATTATTGAATGCTATTGTAATAATGAAGACAAATGGATGGCATGTCCACTTTTGTTCTGTGTTTTTCTGCAAAAAAAAAAAGTGTCTCTTGTCTTCTTCTACAAAGCCTGATTGGGTAAGGCCTGAGATTTCTAGAACAAACTTCTGAGCTCCCGCCCCCACCTCCTTCCTCCTCAGCTTTCTCAGTTATTTGCTCATCTCTTGAGGCAGACTAGCTAGAGAGCATTAATCTTGTTGTTTTAAGAAATGCTCTCAGCCCCAAGGCCAGCCACTCATGGAAGGAAGATTTGAAATATGAAGTAGTACTGTCTCCCCGAGCCTTTTTATGGCTGATAGGCAAGAAGGAGAAACAATACAGGTGCTTAATTAGAAATGTAACAATTGCAATTATATGCTATATATAGGGAGGAATTTCGGTTAAAGAGGTCAATCCCAACAAAGATGCTACATACAAGCTGGTATAATCTAAGAATGCCCATGGACAAGGATGGTGCTTTCAAATGAAAGGAACATGGGATTTGATTCTGTACTTAACATTCTTCTATGAACATTGCCATTTCTTGCTCTGTTGCCTTGACCATCAATGCAATGAGCCATGTGCAGATCTGAACATTGGGGAAACAAAACAACCACTTCATAAACACATGGCACAACACAGAAGAACAAATCCATCAGAACTAGATTCAGCAGCCCATCTGCAGTTAAAAGGCAAAGGCCACTCTTTTGAAGACAGCAAAGCCCACATTTTGGACAGAGAGGACCACTGATCTGAAAGATCAGGAGGCCATTTATGTCAAAATTGAGCAGCCCTCTCTCAACAGAGGAGGAGGGATATGACATCATCTATCTCCAGTCTACAACACAGTCCTTTCAACAGTTCCAAGAAGGCTCCACACATATTTGCACCATTCAGGTGACCCTGATGACACAGATAAACCTCTAGGTGACCTCAATGACTCTCTTAAAAAATGCAAATGTCCAGCTGTCTGCAAGGAGTACAAATCCTCTTATTCCCCACCATTCAGCCACAGCTGAAGAAGCTTCTTGGATGAGAAGCGAAACGTCTTCAAAAACAAAAACAAAAAACCAGAAAGTCCAGTTGCCTCTTGAAAAAGCACCTTTGGGACTTGACCATGAATATTTCTGTCTATATGTTGCATGTAAAGCTTTTTTCTTCCTTTGTTTTCTCCAATAAATCATTTCATCCTCTACTTAACTGACTGTTCACTTCATTTGAATCCACAATCTGCCCACACTTCAGAGATGGAAAGATTAAAGAAAAGACAAATTATGGAACACTATGTTGATGTGGAAGAACCAAAATGATTTGCAAGAGTAGAAAAGTATGGAGAGTATATAGAACGAAGTAGACATGAGCTAGACTTAGCTATATTCCCTTGTACTATTTCATGCCCTTTATTTCTTGGCTGATTGTTACCTATTTCTTTTCTGCACCTTGCATAACACTATTTACTCTGAAAAGGAATAATGTGATAGTTATGTATGTGCATAGAAAATAGATATTTTCTTCAGGGAAGTTGTTTTGAATGCATACAACTTGATTTTGGGGGAAGGGGAGAATAAGAATGTTCTCAATGTGAGACTAATTGCTATAAAACATTATTAGTTGCTATAAAACATTATTCTAATATGATTTTTGTCCCCTACTTCACATCCTAACCCTAAGTGCCATAAATAAAAGCACAGTGTTAGTGAATACGTGCTTTTTCTAGTAAGTCGCAATAGACAAGGCACTTAACTATCAGTTTATAGCCTCTAGGCCTTTAATGAATAGATAGCAAGGAAAAATAAGTGGGAACTTTCTAGCTTAAATAAAGTGAAACTTCTATTGATTTTCTGAACATCATGTACATTTTAAAGGCAATATCCTATTCTTCTTCCCTCACTTTCCACAGAGAAAGCATACACGTACATGATACATGTTCCCAAAGGACTCGGGAAGACTCAAATTACACAAACACTAAGCAGTGTTTTGCAGGCTAGACAATGTGATACAATCTGTGTGATGGAAGACTGGGATGACCCAGAGTGTAACACAAACATAACAAAATCCAAAACGTAAATAAATATCCTTTAATGCCTCCAACTTGGCCCCAGTGTTCAATAATTCTCAGTTGGAGATAAAACGTACTCAAAAGTAGTCTTCAAAAGAAAGCAATATAGTCCGAACCTAATGAGCAGATAGAGGTGAAATAACAAACCAAACAAACAATGACAAAATTTCCACAATGGAACAGGAGAAGGATTTATCAAATTCAAGGAGATAACAAGGCATAGTCTGTTGGAAGGATGCCAACCAAGATAACTTCAGACCCAAAAATAAAACACGCTTTGTTTCCAGCGTTTGCCAGTACGCAGGTCCAAACTCTTATTCAGTTCTCACACCTGTAGCCCATGAAGAGGATCAAGGTCCTCTCCTCCCGAGGAGACCATGTCTCTCCCTTATCTTCTCCACCCTGCGTGCCTTAGGATGGATAGGAGATGGGCCTGGGTCCTCCTCTGATTGCTCAGCCGGCCTCTGCCCTTCCCCAGCCTCCTCCACAACCTCCGGAGCCACACTTCCACTCCCTGTCGGCTGTTCCTCCTCTCCCTCAGAGTCAGTCTCCACCAGGGACATGACAGAAGTCTGTCAGTAGAGTTGTGCAGCATTTCATGGAATGTCTGTATCCCTATATGATGTGTGGTTACGTGATCGTTCCTAGAGGCATGAGAGAAGGCAGGCCACGTATAAGTTTATCATGCTTTTTTAAAATGCTTCTCGAAGAGATTTCTCAGCCAATTAATTCATTTTTAAGAACAGTGTGAAAATTGCCCTGTTAAAGTGACAATACAATGAAGTACATTTTTTGAGGCTCTGCCAGTGCTCAGCCACAGTAGGGGCTGTAAATAAAAGGTTTTAAATATGTTTTACGTAAAGCCTGGGGGGTGTCCAGTGAACTGATGAAAACAATGAAGGCGGTTGCTTTCAACGCACATTATGGATTGTCTCGGTATGAACAATTTTCTTAATTAATTCAGCCCAGCCATTCAAGGGTTTGAGTAATTGTATCTTTTATCAGGATGGAGAGGCAGGAAGGCATCCTGGCAGTACAGAACTATCAGCAGAGGAGACTTGTTTAAAATGAAAAGAGGCTTATGATTATGCTTGATCATTAGATGGACATAAGTGTGGCTTGGGGAAAGCTGTAATCCCCATCCATGGATAGTTCGTTGGTTTTATGACTCTTGATTGGATAGCTGGACAATAAAAAGCAGGAAACTTATACGGAAGCATTTGAAAATTTATTGGTAGTGTCTGCTGTTCTTTTTAATTGTCCCCAGATCTACCTGATCCAGCAGGAATCTGTTTCTCACATTGCCCCTTTGTTAGGAATATAAGTCACCTAACAGGTATTTGGGTTAGAAATATATAATCCAAGATAGACATTTTAATACTGTCTCTTTAAGAGCATGCTAAAAACTTCAATTGGGTGTGGTTACTCAAACGGCCATAAGATGGAGCCAGAAACCTGGATTGTTTAGCCTTAGTCTCAGAAGAGAGTGAATCTCTGTTTCCTTCTGTTGGAAAGTATTGCGGTTCCTCCATTTTTCCTAATTGACTGATATTCCTGGATTTAATGTAAGTCTGATACTAAACTGTTTTTGACACTGGAATTTGATATTTGGATTATCCCTGGATTGAAAACTGACTGATTTACTTGCAAATGACTTTGGATTGCTTATTTTGGACTTTGCTTAAACCTTTCTGGAAGCAAAAACCTACATTTATTGTACAGTGTATCTGTGTACTGTGTGTGTATTATTCAAACACTTCTCTCAAATACGTCTCCCTGTATGCGCTCACTCTCCTAACTGGGAATTACCTCAACACCCTTCAGACAAGAACAGTAAGGATGGAAAGATAGCAGATACAGATAGTCCTTGGCTTATGACCACAACTGACCCCCACGTTTCCATTGCTAAGTGAGACAATTGTTCAGTGAATTTTGCCACAATTGTTAAGGGAATCGCTGCAGTTGCTAAGTTAGCAAAATGGTGGTTAAGCCAATCTAGCTTCCCCACTGACTTGGCTTGTCAGAACGTCTCAGAGGTGAAAACATGACCTGGGGACATGTCTTAAATGAGTGAGCCAGTTTCCAAGCATCTAATTTTCATCAGTGGACATGGAGATTCTGCAATGGTCTAAAGCAGGAGCGTCAAAGTCAAGGTGGCCCATGGGATGCATAGATCTGGCCTGTGGGGCCAACCTGGAAATAGCAAAGGACTAGCCTGCAATGCCTCTGCCAGCAAAAACAGAGCTCCCAAGCTCTGGTTTCATTGGCAGAGGGTTGCAGGAAACCATCGCAGCTGAAAACACAGCTCAGGAGCCAATTTTCATTGGTAGAGCACTCAGGCCATCACAGGCACCACCCATATGAGTGACGTTGAGCTGGCCACGCCCACTCTGCCCCCCCACACACACACACATGTGAGGTCAAACACAACCCTGACATGGCCCTCAATGAAATCGTGTTTGACACCCCTGGTCCCTAAGTATGATGACCGGGGCGTGGCACAAAAGCAACAAAGTCACAAAAATAGGTAAAGTTCCTTTAATACCTCCAACTTGGCCCCCAGCATCCAGTTATCCTCAGCTGGAGATCAAACTCTTCCAAAAACAGTCTACAAAGGGAAGAAATGCAGTCTGAACCCAAAATACAGATAAATTAAAAATAAAAAACCCAACACAAACCACTCTGAAGTAATTAACATGACAAGCCAGGATAATAAATTACAGTCTTCCAAAAGATAATGAAGCACACACAGTTGGGAGGACGCCAAAACCCAGATAAGCCTCGACAAAGATAATGCACACTTTGCTTCCAGCAAGGAGCTGTGTGCAGACGCCCTTCTTATATCCTGTTCTCCCAGCTGCAACTAATGAAAGGGATCAAGTCCTTTTTTTCTCCCGTAAGCCACGTTGCTCCCTTCTCTGTTCCTCCCTGCGTGCCCTAGAATGAAGAGGGGGTGGCCCTGGGTCTTCCTCTGAATGTCCACTCAGACTTTGCCCTTCCCCCATTTCTTCCACAGCCACGGGCGCCACACTCTCACTCCCTGTTAGCTCCTTAATCTCCCCCTCAGAGTCAGACTCCAACGAGGGCATGACACTAAGTGTGAAAAATGGTCATAAGTCACTTTTTTCAGTGCCATTTTAACTTGAAACAGTCACTAAATGAACTGTTGTAAGTCAACCTGTAATTCAGACAATAAATATGTTTGGTATTTTAATGCTTGTTAAAATTTGTTTGAATATCTGTCTTCTTTCTTTTATTCACATGAACTGTAATCTCTCCTTCACTCTATCCTCTATCTATTTATCTATCTTACACAACGGAGATGTCAACACTGAGTTTACTATTGAAACCCGCATTGTACAACAAATACATTGATGCAATCTGTAGCAGTTTCTTTTATCTAATGTTATAGTCAACTTTGGACAAAAAAGTCACATAATTGAATGTGATATTAACAACCTAAATTGAAATTCATATTGGTAGAAGATTTCTCTTTTTCTTTTGCTTACAACACTGTGCATTATCTAAATAGTAGACTATCAATAAATTTAATTAATATTGTAGAAACATTGATGTAAAGACTGTATTGAAGCAATGTACGTATAAAGATTTACAACAATAAAATCGGAGAGGCGGGGACTAAAAAAATCATTTTGTGAGATGGAGAGGAAGGAGGAAACCTGTTCAATGCTTTATTCTTTCATTATAAAGCAGCTTCAAATCTCTGTGACTAAAAATGTTTCTTCCCTCCCTCCCTTCCTCCCTTCCTTTTTGTCTAACTTGAGCAGGGACATTTTAAGTTCCAACATAATCAAAAAAGAAAGAGCTACTCTTCCATGATCCAACCTTTTTTCCTCACAGATCACATTCTGCCCAGAATCTATCCATCAAGACATTTTCATCTACATGAGTATAAGAAAATATTTTAAGACTATTTATTTTCTTTCAAAATATATATTCTCATTTCTTAGCCAAAACTATGTCATCCTATTCAGAGATGTATATTCATATAAAGTATATTCAGGTTTACACATTACCTCTAGTCGTGTTGATTTAGTCAATTCACGTTCAGAATGAATGAATCTCACCAGCTTCCTTATTATAGGTAATCCTTGACTTACAACCAGAGATGGGTATTCAGCAGGTTCTGACCAGTTCTGGAGAACTGGCAGCGGAAATTTTGAGTAGTTCAGAGAACCGGCAAATACCACCTCTGACTGGAGATTTTATAGTATCCTTCCCCTGCCACACCCACCAAGCCACGCCCACAGAACTGGTCATAAAAAAAAATTGAATCCCACC